TTTGGTGGGGTAAAGGGTTTAGAAGTGCTTTGATTACAGAGGGTATCTGTAAAGCCCAACATAAATTAATCTTTATTGCTTCTTGTCTTCCCTCAGCTTATCCTGAAACCAGAGGCCTGATTTTCACATAACGGCAGCCTGGAAAACAAATCGCCAAGGGCAAAAGGAAATACAGATGCTACAGCTGCTTTTTCTTTCATGTTTAGTGGCTGCCTTGACGTTCCTGACCTCAGTTATTTTTGATGAGTTAAATATTTAATACCCTAAATCCAAGGTGAGGCCTTCACCATCATTTGGTCCAGATTCGCAGTCTCCTAGCTCTGAAAGTTGAAGTGTAGTGATGTGACGTACCGTGTCACCAGCCCAATAACCCATAATGTCATACTCACCACAGAGCAGCACCTTCAAGCTTAACCTCTTGAGCAGAAACTCAGCCTTTTCCTCAGCTTATCCTGAAATCAAAGGCCTGATTTTTACATAACAGCTTCCTGGAAAACAAATCTGATGCAAAGCAACCGTCTGTAATGTGCCTTTCTTAGTCTCCTTGCTTGCCTTTCTCTAGATGCTTGTCAGCCTGATAGCTTACTTCATCCGTAGCGGGGAGCCTGAATGCACGTGGACTGGAAGGCACTCTTGGTCCACAGGCTGTGCCTCCTGAGATGGCCTCTGAACTGTGCAGCATGGGATGAAGGCATGGGATGAAGACGTGCTCGGAGCCTGACTACCTGAGACATCCTGGTCTTCCCACCTGACAGCTGTCTGACTTGGGCAAGTTATTTAACCTCTCTGCATCTCAGTATGTTCATCTGTCGAATGGGGATAATATACCATCTCTTTCCTAGGATTGTTGTGAAGATTAAGTAGATCAGTACATGTGAAGTGTCCAGAACTGTGCCAGGCACAGTTCTACAGATGATAGGCACTTGGTAAAGTAACATTGAACACATCAGTGACCAATGAAGGAAAGGGATGAATGAATTAGCAGAGTGACCTTGAGCATGGCACTTGATCTCTCTGGCCCTTTCTAGTTTCTCTTAACATTATGCAAAATTATGAACTCACTGGCCTTGTCGTAGGGTGAACAATTTGTCCTGATTTGCCCAGTGCTTGGCTGATTTTTAGCATGGAAAGTCCCATATCCTGGGAAACCCCTGTCACAGGCGAAGGAGACAGTTGGCTGCCCTAGACCTCTGTGACTGTCCTTGTGTTCCAGATACACTAACAGTCACCCCCTCAGGCCTCGAGTTTCTCTGTCCTGTGTCCCCTGTTCCACTTCACCACTGGGAGTGAATCAGGGCATGCATCGCAGACACTATGGGCTGTTTTAGCTTCTCCCATCACCTCCTTCCTTGTTGGCAGAGTCCTGATTTTATCTTGTTCACTCACTGAACAGCCATATGCCCAGAAAAGGTGACACTAACCCCAGTTCACCAAGGTGGGGCTGAATCTTGATTAATCTAAGCCAAGTATATAATTCTATTCTCCTTATCAGAGGCTGGTTAGCAGGGGAAAGTTCTATGCACTGGGATGGTATCACTAGCTGGTAAAGCATTGAGATGTTGTTGTGATGGTCAGTAATAGGATGTTGCCCACATGCCCCCTCCTCCCTGCCCCTGGACTTCTGTGCTGAAGGATCTCATAATGCAGCCGCCAAAGGGTAAACATCTAGCACCACCGGTCCTCCCGGACCCCAGCTCCAGGCCTCCTGCTTTGTTGGCTCAGTGCTGTTGCCTTTGTATCTGCTGTTTATTTTGTAGCTTATCTTGCCTCTATGTGACCTACTTCTGGCCACAGGAGGCAGCAATAACAGCTCCATCCACTTTTCTGTGGACAGTGGACCCCATGGCAGTGACCAGGATCCAGGTCAGTGTGTAGCTGCAGCGTTGGTGTTCACAGTGGCAGACTCAGTGGGATCTCTGTTAGGCTGGCCCTGTGGTATGATTCTGGGTAAGCCTCTAAGCTTCACAGTGCCCTAGTCTTTCAGGGGATGCAAACTTTTAATAAATCCCATTTCTGCTTAAATCACGAGGCCAATTTGCTTTTGCCTATACCGTATCACCTAAAACCAAGTAGTATAAAGCAATCACCATTTATCTACCATGGGTCATCATTCTGGGCTGGGCTTGGCTGGGGCTGCCTGATGTAGGATGACCTCAGCTGAAATGGCTCATTTCTGCTCCATGTGGCCTGTCACCCTCCAGCAGATGATCCCAAGCTTGATCATATAGTGATCACACAGTGGTGTCAGTGACCTGAAGGAAAGAAAGTGAATGTGTACAAGGCCTCTCGAGGTTGAGGCTTGGAACTGTCACAGTGTCATTTCTATACATTCCATTGATCAGAGGGAGTCACAAACCTAGCCCAGATATAATGGCTGGAGAAATAGCCTCTGCCTCTTGACAGTATGGCCAGTATACAGGGAGAACAGTAACTGGAAACATTTTTTGTCAATTACCAGAGCTAGTATCATCATCCAGAGCTAGTATTTGGTACTCCAGCTGAAGCAACATGATGGGAGATCAGGAAACAGAAGTAGGTCCCTTTCTCCTCAACAGACTGTTGGAGAACCAGGGTGGGATCTGTCTGATAATATCCCTTTGTTCCCTCATTCTGGGAACAAAGGCCTGGTTTGAGGAAAGTGTATGTGAGGAAGGCTATGAAATGCCATTAGACCCTACTCAGCATTCCTGGAAGCTAGATATGATGATGCCTCATTCACCCACACTCTTCCTCCTTTTACTCTGGAAATCAGCCTTGCTCTAGATGATAGCTTCTCCATCAACCTCCTTACCAGAGACAAGAGCAGACCATCTTCCCTATTACACCATGGACATGTGGGGGCGCTTGTTACTGCATCATTAACATCTTACCCTGACTGATGCATTATTGAATGAGATACTAGCCCTAGGGCACATTGCATAAAAAAAAAGAGTTTTGTGGGTAAATAAATCTGGGAACAATGACAAACTGCCAGTTGTCTTTTGGTATTTTTCCTCTCCTTGTGGGTTTTGGTAAAAAACACTTGGAGTTTCAGCCTGACACTTGGGCACTTAACCAGAGACTGCCTCTCCTAGATTCCCTTGTATCTGACTGTGTTCATATGATTGAATTCAGGCCTTGAAATGAATCAGAAGTGATGTGTGTAACTTCTATGTTATCTCCTAATGAGAAAGCTTCTTGCTCGGGACTCTCTCTCTTCATCTGCCTGAGAAATGGTAACTGCTGGTGCCATCTTGAAAGCCATGGGTTGAGAATGGAAGAGCCACTTGGCCAGCTTTGAACAATTCATGTCTGTAATGATATGAAAGATAAGGTCTACCCTCCTTTAGCCACTGTACTTTAGGGCATCTTCGTTGTAGCGGACTAAGGTATGTCCTAAATAATATCACATTATATCTTCCTCTTGGAGAGTCATGGAGGCACTATAAACATGCCAAAGCTTCTGAGGTGTCCTGCATAAGGAAAACAGTTCAAATCTTGTTGAATGAGGAAATCCTTCTTTTTATGGAACACTTATTGACATACACACTGGGAAATGTTCTCACAGAGATAGTTCTAACATAGAGTTGCTCTTTGGGAAGTGCTGGGATAGAGTCATCTTGGTAGCTGGAGAAGGCTGTGGAATTATCATTTCTAATGATTGTTAATAAGGGGCATGACCATCCATCCCCACCCCAACTCAGCTTCTCCTCCATTCTTGGAAGAGCAGCCAGGTGGTGGAAAAGCTGGAACTTGTGTGCAACAACAAGTCTGGACTCAAATCAAGACTCTTGTGACCTTAGACATACTCCTTCACCTTTCCAGGCCTCCATTTCCTCAGATGTAAAATGAGAACACTGATGTCTGCTTTACAGGGTTGCTTGGATCTTATACATGAAAGTGTCTAGCATATGAATACCTCTTACCCACCTTCCTTTTTCTTTTTGCCTTCTCCATGCACTTCCAATCAGGGTCTCACAATTCTTCTGACAAAGTTTATCCTGAGGTCTCCCTTTTTTCCCAAGTAAAAGTAAAATGATAGATCATTTAAAGGAATGTCTTTCCTTATGGTACCTGCATTCTGAAAGGGAGTAAATTAAGAGAGAGAGAGAGAGAGAGAGAGAGAGCAAAAGAGAGAGAGGGAGAAAGTCTTCTTAAAAGTCACAAGGAAAATTACTAGCTCTGTTTTGGGCTGCAGGATGTTCAGGAAGAGAAGTGGCTTTTAGTTCCTCATCTTTCAAGGATCTGAATGGCTTTAGGCAAGCGGTGAAGAATCAGATCTGCTTGTGGGTTTTCCTGGTAAAGCCCAGGATGACACATGGTTTTACAATTCAAGTTAATTAGAGATAATTCAAAGTCCACACCATTGGCAGAACTCTCTTTAGTTGCCAAGTTTGCAAATCAAGAGAAAAAGTAGGCAGAAAATTGAGCCAGACTCCATGAGGGTAAAGTTGATGCCTTGTCTTCACTTTTTCTTCCTATGAAAAAGCCAGCAGCGTGCTCTGTGCACAAGGAAGGTTTTAAGCATACTTAACTGCCTGACTTTTCCTCATCTGGAAGATAAAGCTCTTCATAGGGGGCTTTTATTAATCAATAATTTTGGAGTACAAGTAACAGAAACCAACTCTAGCTATCTTGAGGGTAAATGTAATTTATTTGAAGAATACCAGGGAAGCATATCAAATCTGAGGAACTGTAGAATAATCAGGCCTTGAGAAGACCAGAATCAAGATGACCTCAGCAACTGAAGTCC